CGCTGCCGAGTCCTGGTGCAAGTGCACTCTTGGGGGCAGTTCTGGGTCGCTTGGCCCGGCGACCACCCACGCCGATTGGTGGTACGAGTAACGGTAGCGCTTGCTCTCCAATGACACGAAATCTACCATCAGGTTGTACAGGGTCTTGACATCCATGCCGGACGCGCTCACTTGAATCGTTGGAAACATACGCCTTAAGCGACAACATGTCCCATGTAAACCGCACAAAATCGTACTGTATCACTGCTTGCTCACCTGCCAGACTTTGTGACGATCATCTCAGTACTGAGACGATTGAACTGGTTCCACAGGTCCTGCATTTCCAACTTCAGCTGGACGTACATCAACAACGGATGAAGCGGCTTTGCTTGTTCTATACAAGAAAAACAGCTGCAAATGCGTAAACATAAATAAACAAAAAAAAATAAATGTTCAATTGAGAAAAATTAGCATCATTTCATTGATATATGTTGATGACTTGAAAAATCTCAGTGTGAAAGCTCACATTCAACTGAAAAGCTTACGTTTGCGAATGCTTTCGAACAAGCCCATCCGATTGTAATATGGAACAAATTCATAAATATGCGTTATCTGCCTCATGAATGCATGTCAAAGCTCGTCCAGTATCGTTTGTTCCTCACGTTCTACCTCCATCGATGAGGAAGTATTTGACCTTCAGATCGTCCAAGCATGCTCTTGGACAATAAAACATGTTTATGGTCTGTCGGTAGCCAGTTTCTGAATTTATGACGTCCACTGGTTATCTCTTAGGCAAGATGCATGACCGACCCATCTTATTTAATGTTTTAAACTCTTAAACAACCCAAAGTCGAACATGTTCATGATGGGCAGAAAAAGTGGCTATGAAGCCCGTTCTGTGAAACTGAGGACCGGAATTTGCACACCACTCGCCAGGGATGTCTGCCCGTGACCGAAACCTCACAACTTGATCCGGAGGAAGGGTTAGGGAGTCTGGCAATGGTTCGCGAAAGATCTGTCAAGTAATTACTCACTGAGGAAAAACGACTTTTGAGTAATACTTAAGTTGAAAAACGTTTTTTCGATGACTCATCTCGCTGTGATCATCCAGGATGTGCATCCTTGCATATCTAATATATCTTATTTTTTTATA